TTTTTTGAAAATCCCTAGTCGCATGCTCAAAATTCCGTAAAACGGTCATAACTCTTCAAAGATAGACCATGGGCGCAAATCCTTTTAGGGTTTTCCTAGTCTCGTAGAGACCTACCTTTTAGTCACAATATGGAGTCGAACGGTGTCCGTCAGTTGGGCACCTTCCCTCGCCAGTAACAAAGTATAGCTGAAGCTGAGCTATATCATAACCATAGTCTTATAGATGCCTACGCGAATGGCCTTCCGTCGCGTATCGATGTTCGATCGAGATTGTCGGTCAGTAGAACAAAAGAGTCACAGTTTTTATTGGTGATGTTGTTGATGAAAAAAAGCAGAAAGGCAACCAACATTCAGTAGTACGCAGCAGTGTTGGTACTTGTGGACTAGAATGGAGGTGGTACGTGTAAGTTAATTTCAGTTCAACCCAAAATCAACGTTTAGCTTTCTACGCAATTTAAGTTGATCAATCAATGCCAAACATGAATTTGAACTTCTTCGCTTGAGCTTAGTTTTTAATATGCTTTTCAAATTTTTCGATCGAGTTCGGGTTTCAGAGGCGACTTTTGACTTTTCTGGTCGAAAAAAATCATAAATCACAATTGAACTCTATATCGATCGAAAACTTTGAAAAGTATCTGGAACAGTGTACATCGATCAAAGAACTGGAAATTTATCTAGTTAATACAATTCGATGGAGGATGTACAAATCACATAGGAGACCTATTCGGAACGAGAAACCCGAAAAAGCGTATCTGAATCGGAGATGTCATAAGGCATTTCAATCCAAGTGCGATATATTAAAAATATCGGATGACGAAAAATATCTTTTTACAAGTTTAACGATGATTCCTAGTTGAATTCAGCTTTCAACGCTAAAAGTTAAGTTAACCAGTCAACTTAACTTCAAATCACCTTCAACTCGCCGTATCTAGGCGAGAACAATGTGTTTAGACTAGTCCTTTCTCCCGCTTCCGCTATGTGTAAAAGTGGCAGATAGAAGTAGCCACTATGCATTGAGTTATCTATTTTACAAGGACAAAGCGAGGATGCTGCTGCATATCTCTGATGCTTTATCAACGGATAGGTTCGATCATACACGAATTTTTGTGATCGCTACACGGCATAGCAATACATGCAAGCGAGGGTTAGAGCCTATTGGGTTCAAGAATTCCCGAAACCCAGTCATGACCAATTAAACTTTTTTGGGCTGGGATCCAGATCAAGACGCAGATGATCAAAATTGTTGGACCCGGACCCGATTGATCATTCTTTTCTGAGTATGAACCTGAGCCGTACTGGTAATACTCTTAATGAAATTTTTTAATCCGAATCTGATAGGCGTTAGGAAGAAACGAGATACGTTTTTTGATCTTTTGTGTTCATCGAGTAGCACACTGTACACATTGTTCAAATGATCTGACGTCCGGACATAAGCCGGGCCCGATCAGTAAAAGTTTCAAGTCCCGAACCCGGACCTGATTAACATGAAATTTTCAGACCCAACAGAGTCCTGATCCGGATTCGGATAGGACCCGACAGACTCTAGTGAGGGATGTGCGCGACCTGTAAAGCTGCCGAGAGAGTCATTGATATATGGGGATGACAATAATATGCACGCACGTCGTAGCACCAAGGAGAAAACTGTTCGTCTTTGAAATTCGTTCTCTGCTCCAATTCACTATAAAAGCAAGATAACGGTCTTGCAACGTAACCAAATAATAATTCGAGTACT